TAGGGGGGTCATACCCACCAATTATACAAAATTGAGTCCCCTTGACCCAAGGATGCTCCAGACTAAATAAGGATAAAATCCCATAATCCCGATGGTCGAAGAAGGATTTTAAAGGTTTTACCTCTATTTCTCCTATTGGGCCCCGTCCTTCTGCCCCTTGGGAGACCACACCCACTGCATGCTTATACAAAATTGAGTCCTCTTGGCCCATTGATGCTCCAGACTAAATTAAGATAATCTCTATGGTAAAAGAAGGATTTTAAAGGTTTTACCTATGTTTCCTCTATTGGGCCCACCTCTCTGCCTCCAGACACACCGTTTATACAAAATTGAGTCCCTTTTGCCTAAGGATGCTACAGACTAAATTAGGATAATATCCCTTAATCCCTATGGTAGAAGAAGGATTTTAAAGAATTTGCTATGTTTCCCCTATTGGGCCCCACCCCTCAGGCCCCTAGGGTACCACACCAACGATTCATTCAAAATTGGTTCCCCTTCACCCAAGGATGCTTCTGACCCAATATGGAACAAATCCTTTTGTTCCTACAGAAGAAGAAGAAGGGTTTTAAAGAATAATTTGTATGTTTCCCCCATTTTGCCCCGCCCCTCAGCCCCCAGGGGAGCCAGACCCACGGTTTATACAAAACTGGTTCCCCTTCACCCAAGGATGCTTCAGACCAAATATGGACCAAATCCTTTGATTTCTACAGAAGAAGAAGGATTTTAAAGAATTTGCTATATTTCCCCTATTTGGCCACACCCCTCAGCCCCCAGGGGGGCCAGACCCACGGTTTATACAAAATTGGTTCCCCTTCACCCAAGAATGCTTCAGACCAAATATGGAACAAATCCTTTCATTCCTTCAGAAGAAGAAGGATTTTAAAGAATTTGCTATATTTCCCCTATTGGGCCCCGCCCGTCAGCCCCAAGGGGGGTCAGACCCACCATTTATACAAAATTGAGTCCCCTTGGCCTAAGGATGCTCCAGACCAAATTTAGTCCAAATCCTTTCATTCCTACAGAATAAGAAGGATTTTAAAGAATTTGCTATGTTTCTCCTATTGGGCCCCGCCACTTAGGCCCCTGGGGGCCAGGCCCATGGTTT